ATCATAATTATGTAATTCAATCTTTCTGATATCTTTTTGCCATCACATCGACAATGTATTGAATAAAAACCAGCCAAGTGCGAGTCGGACTTTCTCACGAAGGGTTCCGTACCGATCTCACAGAAGACCGGCGTAAAATAGAAGTGTTATACTTCTACGTTTCGTCTGGTGAGTGAGGTAGCCGGGGCCCACTTTTTTAATGTTGGAAACACAGTTGTTATCACTTAACATCAGAGGAATCGGCAGCTCGTTTGCCACTCTATCTCATTAAAAAAATCATGTTTTAATACCTTTATTCAATAGAAGTATAGAAGTATTACACTTACATATTGTCAAAAACACTACTACTGTAAACATTATCTATAAAAACGACAAAGAAATCATGTCTGTTTTATGGGAGCCCCACTTATTTATACGTTTTTGTTTTTTAATATTTGTTGTTATAGCGGCAACAGAAATACATCGTTTGTGAAAATTTCCACTGTCTAACTATCACAGTTCATGAGATACAGCCTGGTGACATATGGACAGACATACGGACATACTGACAGTCAGCGGAGTCTTAGTAATAGGGTGCGATTTTGCCCTTTGGGTACGGAACCCTAATAAGTCCCAGTAATAATGCAATGGATTAGAACAGGTAGCTCTAACCATCAACCTAAATGCATAAAATTCCATGCATGTCACAGTTTTGTTACGCACAGTACCTTGCCGAGGAAGAGTCAAATATTAACCGTCTTCTCCTATTACGCTATTAAGGAATATTTCATATAATCTGTGTAACTCAGAGACCCTTTTAAGTTGGACGTGACTACCGTGAAACACTATATCTCTGGGGCCTTTTTAGGATTCCGTACCCAAAGGGTAAAATGGGACCCTGTTACTAAGACTCCGCTGTCTGTTTGTCCCTCTGTCAACAGGCTGTATCTCATGAACCGTGATAGTTACACAGTTGAAATTTGATCTGGGTATTTGTTTCCAAAGGAGGGTTGACGCCAGGCAGGCGGCTGGTTGTAAAAATATAGCCAAAACCGCTTACAACATGATTCATGTTGTGCCGACCCCACCTAGGAGGCAGGAGGATGATGATTGTTGTATATTGATGATACTTGTATACTTGTCCCTCTATTTTAAAAGTTCGCGTCAAACGAAGTCATTTGAAAAGGGCTATTGCAATTTCGGATGTTGGTTGAAAATGTCCAGATGGTGAATGATTATTTGTCAAAAGATTTTTATTGGCTGTGCTCCTCAATATTGGGGAGACTAACTTTTCCAGAAGCACAGCACATACCGTTTGGTTCATCGACCCATTTATTGGCAGAACACTTACAGCAGATTTTATTCATTGCTCCGATTTGGACGGAAGACTGTTGAGCTTAATGCATTAATGCTGATCTGTTACTGTGAGCTAAAAGTCGATTACGAACTCTAGTCGTTGACGTTTGTTGTCTTTCTTTCTCATCTCGTAGGCGTTGGGAACGCTCAGAGCACGACTCCCGAGTGTGAATTTGTATATTTATATTATTTTGCTCTTTAAGCCGCTCTACTTGACTCTCTCCGACTTGTAAGACGATTTACACTTTCCGGTAAAGATTCCTCATTACGACGTATTTTTGATGCCCTCGCCTGGGAACTATTTCTAGAAAGATGAGATCTTGACCTTTTGGGCAATTTAAAATGATAAAATAAATTAAGCTGTTGAACAGGAATAACCACTATAAATGTAATTGAAAAATTGTAAGAACTACTAAGTCAGTCACTAAGCTGTTTGGATAGTTAAATAACTATTATTTTAAATATACTAACATTTTTAAACTTGTGATATCTTTCGAATGGAATGTCCGAAATTAATAATTCGAAAAGTAATATAAAGCTATTGAAACAGTCTTTAATATGAAGTAATTTATTTTTATAAGGATTAATATCAAGATACAAATAAAGACCCTATTCTAGCGGCGGCATTTCAATCAAAATTTTAAAATAAAAGAACACTTATTGTGACATAACTATAATAGTTAGACATATGCTCTCGCGACACTTTTTGGAAATAATGATGTGTTCTGCAAATTCGTAGTACATTATTTTATTCTATCATTAATATTTTTCGCAGCGCACGCGATGTAAAGAATATTTTAGGTAATTTTTGTACACTTTGTGTGTTTTTGTACATTATTGAAGTTTCAGTAAGGATCCCTATTTTTAAAAAAAATATAATATAGCCTATATCAAGCGGGGATAATGTAGCTTCCCAACAGTGAAAGAATTTTTCAAATCGGTTCAGTAGTTTCGGAGCCTATTCAATACATACAAACAATCAAATCTTTCCTCTTTATAATATAGAAATCTTTCCTCTTTATAATATAGAAGACAACATTTGAAATTCGAATTCAATAAATGTTTTTGTGACCAGCATTCAAAATTCAAAAGTTTTCATTAAGTAATAGAACTTATGAGCCGACTAGTTATATTTAGGTAAACCTGTATTTTTTTGCTCTCTGCACGAAGGAGAAGTCCAGCACTAGGCCAGCACTGGGACATATTAAAAAAGGCCGATTAAATAGCTTTTAAGCCCTACACAATAACCAACAGGCAACATTCACATTGACTTTTTCTCGTGCGTTAAAACGGCGATATCTCGCTTTCCATTCGAAGTGGGCCAGCGCAACGCGACTCCGCGCCGCCACGGTTCACTTGGGCCATCCGAGATCTGAGAGCAATTGTGAAACGAGACCAATCACTTTCTAAATATCATAATTATAATAAGTGTTACAATGAAAATTTATAACATATTTTGTAATAGTTAAAGATAATAAATGTAGTCATAAAGAAAGTAAAAATGTATTGAAATCATAGTAACTTAAATTGTAACTTTTTGATGTATTTTTTTGCATACGTAAGCTTTTGTGCGTTTTATGTAAGAGTAAGTAAAGTTTGATATTATAAACGTTTGAATCTATAATATAATGTAATTGATCGTTGTCTGTACATGGAAGATATTTGAGAAAAAATATTTTTGGGGGCCTTTATCAACGCAATAGAACACAAAACAATGATTTTGTAAATTTTTGTCTGTTTGTCTATGCGTTTGTGCGCGCTAATCACAGAAAAGGCTTAACCGATTTGGGTGAAACGTTCACTAATGCATTGTATTAAGCTTCACCTAACATTGAGGGTTAATTTTATTTAAATTGGTTCATAAATATAAAACCGATATGATATATTATCTACTTAAAAAACCACATTGCAGATTTGTGCGATAAAATGCTATATAATAGCTACAGTTGAATTGGATCAAATTTCAATTAGTATATATTATGGTCTGTAAAATTATGATGATTGTAAGTTTATGTAAAGTAAAAAAAAAATCAGTCAAGTGCGAGTGGGTAACGTTATCTACGAAAACTGCAAAAAAATCATGTCTGTTGTCTGTGAACCCCACTCAAATATCAAGTATTTTTTGCTATAGCGGCAACAGACAAATAATATCATACAAATACATCATCTGAGAAAATTTAAACCGTCTGACAGACGGACAGGACAGAGTCTTAGTAATAGGGTCCCGTTTTACCCCTTGCGTACGGAACCCTAAAAATGTACAGTTTTGATACTTCCAATGTAGGTTGACCTCATAACTATATCATCTGTCATATCTGTCATCACACCTTGGCTGGGGTACATAAAATCATAAAACCTTGAACCCAACTTCCTTAGGTTCCATTCGCCCCTGGATCTGCTAAACAGGTTATGAGCCAGGAACCAAGGAAAGCGGCGGGCTGATATCGACCTGAACCGCACTAGAAAATATGTTTAATAGTGTTGGGACGACCAAAAATAAGAGGATATCCATAGTTAATATTATAAAACTGAAAGTTTGTTTGTTTGAACTTGCTAATCTCATAGTGTTGGTCCGATTTGAACAATTCTTAAACTGTTAGATAGCCCATTTTTCAGAAAGGCTGTAGGTTCCTTTTTAAGCACGAAATAAAATGTACCAGATGCGAGTGGTGTCACTGGCGAAAAGCTAGTTACAATTTAAGTCTTTATATGTAGGTTTAAAGTTCCAATACCAATAATGTACTTTTATTAACTTATTACGTCGATATAAAAGAACAGTATAGACTTGTACGTACTTTTCGCAATAGATTTTTTCTGTATAAACTATTCGGCCTTATGTAAGTACATCCTATCGGACCAGACGAGTTCAATACCCTACAGTTGTTGGTTCAATATTGTCGCGCAAGCGCTCTCGATGGATCGCATAGACATAATTTATGATAGGTGTACGTTAACTGAATATATAAGGCACAACATATTTTATGTGATCATTAAATTTATAATATATACGTACTAATACGGTAAAAAAAATATTAAATTTCAAGGCCTAACAATACAATAGATTTCTAAGATGAATACACGGGTAGGTATTTATTGAATTGCGATGTCTTGTAGACAATGCATAGAAGACTCGACCGAAGGTTAATTCATGTCATTCGATAAATGCAGATCAATTCTAGGTTTCAAATGGATATGGGTAGCTAGGTCTAGGTTTTATCCTATGCAAAGGTGGTTGCTTATGTTGAAACTAATTTATCTATCTTAAGTTAACAAATACGATAACCGTAGCCTTGACTACCGTTTTTCATTATTAAATTAAAGTAAATTCTATTTTGATTGATAGTATATTTGCAAAAAATTAAATATAGGCAAGTAATTTAGTAGTTAGTATATTGTAAATGTAACGGGAATAAGATCCCTAATGATTCTGTATTTAGACTAGACTTATCTGAATGCAATTTTTATTCTTTGTATATGTATAAGATAAGAATTATCAAATTTACGTGTGTTATCATTAATTTCGGGAAAATATTTATTTATAATTTCAAAGTTAAGGAAAGGGTCGACTGAAAATACAAACAACGAAGTATCGAGAGAATCAATTTATTTCATTTAATTTCACCGGGGAATGTGTTACGGTGCGCGTGTGCCGTTCGAGCGAACTAATATTCCTCGGCACCTTCGCCTTCGCCCTCGGCGGAGTCCATGCCGACCTCCTCGTAGTCCTTCTCGAGGGCGGCCAAGTCCTCGCGGGCCTCCGAGAACTCGCCCTCCTCCATACCCTCGCCGACGTACCAGTGCACGAAGGCGCGCTTGGCGTACATCAGGTCGAACTTGTGGTCGAGACGAGCCCACGCCTCCGCGATGGCGGTGGTGTTGGACAACATGCAGACGGCGCGCTGCACCTTGGCCAGGTCGCCGCCGGGCACCACGGTCGGGGGCTGGTAGTTGATGCCCACCTTGAAGCCGGTCGGGCACCAGTCGACGAACTGGATTGTGCGCTTGGTCTTGATCGTGGCGATTGCGGCATTCACGTCCTTGGGCACGACGTCGCCCCTGTACAGCATGCAGCAGGCCATGTACTTGCCGTGGCGCGGGTCGCACTTGACCATCTGGTTGGCGGGCTCGAAGCACGCGTTGGTGATCTCGGCGACGGAGAGCTGCTCGTGGTACGCCTTCTCGGCGGAGATGACCGGCGCGTAGGTGACCAGCGGGAAGTGGATGCGCGGGTAGGGCACCAAGTTGGTCTGGAACTCGGTCAGGTCGACGTTGAGGGCGCCGTCGAAGCGCAGGGAGGCGGTGATGGAGGAGACGATCTGGCCGATGAGACGGTTCAGGTTGGTGTAGGTGGGGCGCTCGATGTCGAGGTTCCGGCGGCAGATGTCGTAGATGGCCTCGTTGTCGACCATGAACGCGCAGTCAGAGTGCTCCAGCGTGGTGTGGGTGGTGAGGATCGAGTTGTATGGCTCCACTACGGCGGTGGACACCTGCGGGGCGGGGTAGATGGCGAACTCGAGCTTAGACTTCTTTCCGTAGTCCACCGAGAGACGCTCCATCAGGAGTGATGTGAAACCGGAGCCGGTGCCGCCGCCGAACGAGTGGAAGATGAGGAAGCCCTGGAGGCCTGTGCACTGGTCGGCGAGCTTGCGGATGCGGTCGAGAACCAAGTCTACGATTTCTTTGCCGATTGTGTAGTGACCGCGGGCATAGTTGTTGGCCGCATCTTCCTTGCCAGTGATAAGTTGTTCTGGATGAAACAACTGTCTGTATGTACCTGTGCGAACCTCATCTGCGAACAAAGGAAGTAACCATTAGTGAATGTAAATCATACGAAGGCAAAAGAAACTTTGGTATTTTTTTTTTTCTATTAAATATAAAAATTTCGAAGTATTTTAGAGCTCACTCACCGACTACAGTAGGCTCCAAATCAACGAAGACGGCCCTAGGGACATGTTTGCCGGCGCCAGTTTCGCTGAAGAAGGTGTTGAATGAGTCGTCGCCACCGCCGATGGTCTTGTCGGTGGGCATCTGGCCGTCGGGTTGGATGCCATGCTCAAGACAGTACAGCTCCCAGCAGGCGTTACCGATCTGGACTCCAGCTTGGCCGACGTGTACGGAGATGCACTCACGCTGTTAAGAATACACAAATGTTTTAAAAATGATCTATACAAAACCATGTCAAGGTGGTAAAAGCGGTAACAAAAAAAAATTATAATATTATCGATTTACCAGTAAACGCGATTAACGAATAAAGTTATAATACAGTAATATTAGACATCTACAGAGTTAGAAAAATTTATCGATCAAGGGCGTGGCATCCTTGATAATGAATCAGACCGACAATGACGTTACAATCTAATTTTAACTCGCGACAATCAAAGAAGATTCACGATTCTGCAGAAAGAAACAATTAAGAAATCAGTATTAACATTTAATTTGAAATTTAGAACACCACACTCGGCCTCGTGGACATTTCAAACGGATCACGTTATACGCCGACAAAATGGCGTCCCCAACCGGCGAAATTACTAAAATCCGAATATTAACAGAAACTTTAGGAATTAAATGACCTTATGGGAAAGGAAATAAGAAACGAAAGTTTACTCACCATTTTGAATTGAGTTTGGTTGAGCTTAGCGTAGAATTAAATTAATAAATAAGTCAGTCGACGTTCAGCGCTACCGGTTAAGAGGCTTGCCGAACGGTTAGTAACGTCAAAAATCCGTTATCCCACTATTTATACTTGCGGCGACTCTAGAAGCGACGCTACTCACACCGAGCTACGATTGGTCGATCCACTGCCGCATGGGCGTCTCGACCAATAAGGTTAAAGCTGAATTATATCACCATTGCGGGAATATGTGGGCAACTGTGCTGAATGCTGATTCACTCTAGTGAAGTGCTTCCAATGCATTATGATTGACATCGATAGTAATTAAATATAATACAACAAAGCAACGTTAACTACTATGATTGATTTTTCTTTCGTATTTTGGTAATGTATCGAGGTACTAAATGAAAACAGAGATATTTATATTAAGTATATGGGGATAATTAAAAAAAAAACCTCTTCAATTTATGTCAAAAATTACTTGTAACCTATTGATTCATTCTTGTTGATATAAGGAGTCACATTTTATTCTACAAATAAAAATAATGCATGACTAAACTTCACCAATCTACCAAAAGAGTTTCAAAAAACATTAAGATCAAGAATGAAAGTTACTAAAATAACATGGCAGCAAACTGTTTCAGATATGAACTACACAACCTAATAATACAAAAAAATTGTAATATGTTATAAAAATCATTTTTTTTCCTTTTATTTTAATTCTGTATGAGTTTTCTGAAGATAAAAAACGTGTTAATATGATAGGACCATTAATTGTAATTATACCTTACTTATTTATTAAAATATAATTTAATTATTTAATAAAAATTAATTTTCAAATTCCTTCATAAGCACATTGAGTTTACACGTTTACACGTCTTTTGCTGTAGATAATAGCTGGAAATGGTATAATAATTTATTATTATTCAACACAAAATATTACATTTTATATTGATAACTTTTATTCATATAATATTAAAAATCTATATCCATAAACACTCATTAACAAATAGACGTATTTGATGAAGCCTTCGTCTAAACAGTCAAATCTACGTTCGCTGTACGATCTAATATTTTACTATTTATATTTTTACACAAAAATAAAACATGGTTATCGATAAATTCAAATAGGAGTACGGCACTAGAAATCGTTATTTTTGCTGGAAGTGCGCCCACTCACACAGACATATTGAACTTTCAGTCTGGGTACTTTTTGAAGACTAGATCTACAGAACATATATTTTTTGATATTTTACACACCAGTTAATGGAGTTTATGAGTAAAAATATACTATGGAATTGTAATACATTTAATAATCCTTACTGTCAACGAGAAATTCAAACGCCGACATCACGCACACTAATGTACCGTTCACCAATCAACACAGTACGGTGTTCTTAATTCTTATCCATAAATGGACATCTGGGAGACTCGCCAAATTCAATATAGTGAAACTAAAATGTTTAAGACAAAATATATATTAAACATTTTAGTTTACTTTTTTATTTTCCATAACTATTTGCAAAAGTAGTAACAAAATATCTAATTTGTTATATAGTTAGGAGATAGTTATTTTCCTGCGAATTTTACATAAATTGAATTAAAATAATGCTTTAAAATGCTTTAAATTCAGAAAGCGCAAATTGCAGTTTTTAACATTAATCTATTTATGATTTTTATGTTATTTCATGCACCGGCGCATTGTGGTTTATTAAAACGCCATCTACAGTAATCTTTAAAAACGAATGTGTGTCTACAACTCTACAAAAAAAAGGCGATATTGAAACGTATCAAGTGCCATCTATTATGAAATTAACTAAATTAATGACAAAACAATTATAAAATTAAACACTTATTAGCTGGAAGGCCGATTTACATGTTCTTGTTCTAATTAATTAAGATGTTTAAGCAAAGTCTCAAATTTTGACTAAAGTTTGAGTGAATAAATAGTAAGCCAGTTGCTTGTACTATAGCTTATAACATACTTAAATTTAGTTACTAGTTTGTCTAAGATGTACCACTAACAATACAATGTAGAAGGGGTTAAATCAATTAAAAAAGTTCTGGTAAAGCTAAAACATATACAAAAAATCCACTAAGTTAATTGATAATTTAACAAAAATCTTAAAAGTTAATTGATAGCCCACCATCCTAAAGCAAAAATGGAACGGATTCTATTTTACTTGTTTCGTTCTGCATCAAATTTTAATTTGCAAGTTGTTCCTTAACAGACTGTTTACACGCAAGAATTAAGTTTTAGTGAAGTAATTAAAAACACTCGTAAATTGGACATTTGGACCCATTCTATCAATGGGCTTCAGTGTGGCTTGGCAGTCTACATATAGTATCGTCGAAGTATTTTTTTAATTTTTTTGAATTCCAAGTTAGCTCATGTGTTTCCCTTGACTCCTTTATCGTCTGTAAGTCAGAACTTAATTCTGAATAAACATTTTTTTTTAGTTCAATGACGCGAATTGAACTGAGTAAGCATAATTAATCACAATTATCTACTATAGGGGCGAAAAATTTTTAAAAGAATAATGATGCTTCTTTCACAGATACCTACGATCGGTATTTTTGTTTCTTTCCTAAGAGAAGCCAACATAAAAACCTTAATTATGTTTAAATATTCAGCACTGAGCTGAGGATTGAAGTCGAGACCATTCAGTAATCTTCGCGCCTATGCCTACATTAGGATACAAAAATGTAATTCGGCCATTTCGTTCATCTCCTAGTGAAGTGAAAGGGACGTAAGTATTGTACCACGTGACGTATCCGTTTAGTTTTCCCGCGTTGAGTTGAATACGAGCGCGCGAAGGCGTAACGTATAATATTATTTCATTCCGCGCGCGATCGTATTCTGTACGCTTGCGCAGAACGAATTTTCGAAATACGAATTTTTATCACTAATAATATAATAAAATCCTCTGTTGAAGTGCTGAATAAATAATAATGAAATAATAAGTATATCAGTGATATTTGAGTGGCTTGAGTGTTGTGTCGTATTCCTCGAGCAATATAACATTTTTAAATTTCCTGTGAGTATGTTTTGTTTATAGCTTTTTCATTTTACTACGTCGCGACACATTAATATATTATTTACACGTATGTCACGAAAATGTTGTCGTAACATGGTTTTCTTTGAGATAAGTAGTACTTAGCCTTGTATGGTTGTTTGTACTCCGTTAGTTCTCAGATATGGTCTGCGAATAGGATCTAGACTGGCTTGGATATGTTGCCAGTACGGTATTTCAAGTAAAAAAAAATAGTTTGGATACATCTATTTGTATGATTAAATTAAATTATGCAAAAATAATCAAGTAGTGTAGCGCCTTTGGGCGCGACAAAAGATTAAAACACTCAAATCGAAAGGCTTGTGAACGTATCAATTTTTTTTTATCGATTAGCTTTTTAATGGATTTCAAAAACAACCTGTTTTTCAATTATTCGAGAACAAAGTTATCCGGAACAATTGGAATAATTTAGATACTTATGTTAATGTTTTGTTATTTGTATTTTTACATTAATTCAGTTGAACGTAATGCTCGACAGCGTATTGTGTGTAGAGTTTTGGTAATGTACAATTTTTTAGCACATTGACCTTTTAAAGGAGCTAATTAATTTTAGAAACATTAGGCAACGTAAAGTTACAGTATATGCTATAATGCCTAAAAATAAGATTATTACCATTAATTATTTTATATTCCATTAATTTCATTGCGTAACCGGTGTCCAGGATTCGTTCCCGTTAGTGGTACATTATTTATCGTCCTCTAAAAGCTCATTCTATTAAAAAGTATGATTTCATGAAATTCATTATCCAGGCATGGAAATATCTATGGCACATACTATACTCCCGGAATATATGAGAAATACGAGGGATTTTCTGAAGATGACTCAATATGTCGGTCCAATACCGATGAAGCAAAGCCTGAATACATTTCATCAATGGTCGATGATGCGGCTCGATGACGCATTGGCTCGACTTGCATTAGTTTAAGACCCTCGAAATAGCCATGAGCGAATGCGGTCAATTATCATTCGGCTCCTGGAATTACTGTTTGTGGTTGTTTTCTACATAGTACAACTAATCAACTTCTATATTTGAATTCGTGAAATCGTTTACTTTTAAAATTTTAATTCCTTGTTCTGTTTTCAAAATTCAACTTTAGCCACGGCTGTTTTTTTTCTCTCGTATATCTGAATGAATGTACCCAGGGCGGCACTTGAATGCCTTTCTGGTACACGTAGTGTTATCGAACTCAAATCGACAACACTACGTGAAGGCAGTCGAACTAAATTAGTTTGGCTTTCAGGTAATATAGGTTAGGTTAGTATCCTATCCGGACATCTATGGATGCGTATTAATATCTAAGAGGTCCATGATAAGTAGCTTGGGTGATGCGCAAAGGAATAGCTGGGGTCCGTGAATACTTTGAGCGTGTGTCATAAAAGGTGTAACTTCACTATTAAGTTTTCCATGGTAAGGGGTCCCAAAATCAACACAAGTCCGGTGGTTACAAAAATGATAATTGAACAATTTCATGGCAAGCTTTCGTTTTGTTTATTTATAATTTTAAAATCTAGAGTGCGAGAGATCATTACAGATCAGGGAAGATGTGAGTACGACTTCTACGTCGGTTTTATCTATATAAATAAAAATGAATGTTTGTAAGCGCATAACTCAAGAATGGCTGGATCAATTCGGCTAATTTATTTTTTATACGTTCCTTAAGGTCCACAGAAGGTTTTAAAACTATAAAAAAAACTTTTGACATAACGAAGTCTGTCCGAGCAGCTAGTTATCTAATGCCTTTCGACCACCGACGCCAATAAGAAGCCCAGTCGCTTAGCAATCATTAAAATTAGTCCAATATAATCTTTCACATTAAATTGCAAGAGAAGATGACATCATCTACTGGATTTTACATCTCGTCTGAATTCCAATGTCGAGTGCTTTACCGTTTTTTAGATTTCTTGTGTGGTTTAGAACTATTCCT